TCCCAGAGCAGCATGTAGCCGATGAGGGGACCACGCACACTTCCTGCAGCCTGGGACTCAGGTCCCTCTTTGACAGTGATATCTGTGGGGTTCTGGTCACCATGCCATGTGCCTATATCTGTAACTTCTGTCATCTGTCTATCATCTACCTATCTACCTCCCTATCATCTATCTATCTGTCTGTCTGTCTATCTATCTATCATCTATTATCTCTGTCTGTCTACCTCCCTACCTATCATCTATCTATCTATGCATCCATCCATCCATCCATCCATCCATGCATCTATCCATCCGTCTATCTATCTATCATCTATCATCTATCTATGTTCATTATCATCTGTGTATGTATCTGTAAATCTATATATTTATCCTATCTATGTATCATCTCTTTATTTACTTATCTACCTATCTACCTACCTATCATCTATCTATGCATCCATCCATCTATCTATCATCTATCTATCTATGCATCCATCCATCTATCCTTCCATCTATCTATCTATCTATCTATCTATCTATCTATCATCTATCTATCTTCATTATCATCTGTGTATCTACCTATAAATCTATATATCTATCCTATCTATGTATCATCTCTCTATCTACTTATCTATCTATCTACCTACCTATCATGTATCTATCCATCCATCCATCCATTCGTCTATCTATCTATCTAATATATCATTCTCATGTATGTATGTATATATGTATAATGTATTTAACCTATCTATGTATCTATCATCTATCATTGTATGTATCATCTATGTATCATCTATCTACCTATCTATCTACCTACTTATCTATCATCTATCATTTATCATCATCTATTGTTTATCTTTTATCATCTATCATTCTATCGTCTATCTATCTATCTATCTATCTATCTATCTATCTATCTATCTATCTATTTATCTATCATCTATCATCATCTATCTACCTATCTACCTACGTACCTACCTTTCTAACTACATACCTAACTACCTACCTGCCTGCCTACCTACTTATCTACCTACCTACGTAGTCTTTTGAGTTTTCCATTACTATTTACTCAAACATTTCTAGCACAGTCCTTGATATGTCCCATAGCCCAGGAAGTTCCCAAGCCAAGACAAAAGTTAAAATAAATTATGCACAGGGTCAAGGCATGGAGAAGGTACAACAGTTGTAAACACACACCCGTGCTGATCAGCTTCCTGTCAGATATTTTCCTGCTGGAATTTTATGGACCGCTAGAGGGCAGGATTGCCTGACATAATCGACTCCCGGCGTCCGATGATTTTAAAATGGAAGGAGATCTCCTGTGTTTTCTGCTTTGTCTTTATTACTGGGATAGAATATCATATTACGGAGCGTGACAATATGCGATATTCCTAGTAAATACAATGTTAGAACATAGTACAGCGCCAAACATAATATGGATGGAATATACGAGAAAATTATTTCAAAAGAATTAGAAAAGAATCAAGTAAAATAGCATTAGAATATAATGTTAGGATATACGAGAATTTTCATATTAAGATTACTATATAAATTATTAATAGAATTACTAGAATATTATTAAGATACAATATTTAGACTATTAGAATGTATTAGGATTTTGGAAAATGGAATCTTTTGTTATTTTAATGGAATGGTACTGATAGGATATGTCTAATATCCTTATGAGATGTTAGGAAAACACTATAACATAAGCAGAATCTGGCATATTACTGGGTCCCATCGTCGCAACAACGGACAGCAAGTAGTTAAAAGTCTCGTAGCCGACGGCACCGTTCCACGCGAGGCCGCGAGCTTCCGTCCACGACAAGCATGTCTCCGTGTGGAGCTTTTCCAGGTGGACTTCTTGAGCGTCACCCATGGAGTGGCATCCCCGCACATTCTGCAAGCCTGTCCCACCCACCCCCGCGGGGCATCTCGGTCGGCTTCCGCTGTCCCCTGGCTCACCCTGAGGCTCCTCCCTGTCTCACCCCGCTGCTCCCTCTCCTGCCCATGGCGCCCGTGCCTGGCAGCAGCCTGTGGGGGGCGGTGTCCCCTCCCTCACCAAGCCGGCCGCACCTCTAGGGGGAAGACCCAGAGCTCATTAGAGGAGGCTCTGCGGTGCTGTGTGCACGGTCCACGCACCCCAGAAGAGCAGCCTGCCCTTCCTGCTTCCTGTGCGGTACCCGCCAGCCTCCCGCAGGCCGTCCCTTCGCCGGGCCCCTTGTCATCTCTTGCTCGCAGTGCAAGTTCACGTCTAACCCGATCCCAGGACCCTCCCTCCCCTGCTCCTTCGGCCACGGCCTGTCTCACCGCCTCGTAGCAGGAGCAGCAGCCATCGGGCTGTGTTTGTTGATTGACTGTGAGATCTCCGGGCCCGATCTGGAGAGTTCTCCCGGTGCCCAGTGTACAGAAGGAGGGAGGGTCCTTTGGTTCAAAGTCCTCCTGTCTCCATTTTGATTAATTAATTCTATTGCCCATTTTCGCGGCCTTAGCAGGCTAAAGGGAGAGCCCGCCTCCATCTGTTTGTCGCTTTAATTGGCCAATTAGATCTTGTGATATAAGGAAAAGCCAGCTTTCGGGGAAAGCCTGCCGTGGGATGACGGCCTGAGGGCATAGCACAGGTGGAATTTTATTCTGATCCAATGAAAATGTCCGGGACATTCCGGAACAAATCCGCTGGTGGCTTCCCCGGCGGCCCCAGTCAGCCCTGAGTCCTCCTGCATCCACGGCCAGCCCCGCAGAGTTCAGTCCCACAGACCGCCGTTCAGGGAGCAGGGAATTGGCCTGCGTGGGGAGCCACATCCGTGTGGCGCCTTACGGGGCCGCTACAAGTGTTCCAGAAAAGTCATCACGTTTCCAGAACGTATGATCCGCACCGAGGGCTTTCTCTCGTGTGCGGGTCCGAGCTGTCCACGCTGACCGCGTTTGGAACTCACTCGCGAATGACAACGCGTAGGCGTTCACAGAAGACAACATCAGACTCACTCGCAAGGAGCCCAGATCGAATTTTCTGCGAGAAGAAGAACCATCCTTCCTCTGATTAAAAATATTCGGAGCAGAGCGCCCTGGTCTTAACAGCTCGGCTCATCTTACCGTCCAGCTTAATCAGCGGCTGCTGGCTTTTCCTGTCCTACGGGCCCTGCCTGGTCTGGCACGTCGTTTTGGGTTGAGCCGTATGAAGACAGTGGTCCCGCCTCCAGATTCAACGCTCCGGAAAAGGCCTCGGGGCACCTCGGGGTTCCCTGGGACCCCCCTTTTGGAACCACAGCCATCACGCCCGAGCCACTTTTCCGGACTCCGTTGCGTCCTCCCTCGCCAACGCCAGACACCCCCTTTTTCACGAGGAACCACAGATCTTGTTATTATTATTATTTTTTATACAAGCGTATCCGGCCAGGGATCTTTGAGGAAGAAGTCAAACCAGAGTGACACGCCAGTAATTCTCTCCGTCTGCATTCTCTCTGCATGAAGTCCTTCTCGTTTGCCTTGAACCCTTTTCTAAGTACCTGGCTTCCAAGGCCAGCTCCCTGCTAAAAACTTGAGCCGATAAAAGCATTTAGCTGGTAGTTTAGGGTCCCGTTTAGTTTTGTTGTGTTTTTCTCCAATAGGAAGGAAGTTGCTTATAACGTCCGAGGCCATGTACCAGGCACTCACGGCCTGTGTCCTAGAAATCGGGGTGCAGTTGGGTGTCAGACAGAACAGTGAGGATTTCTTGGGGCCGAGCCTGCCTGGGGGGGGTGCTAGTTCTCAGATCCCTGCTCTGTACCCCTCTCCCTTCGGGCAACGTTCATACAGCCGTCCTCACAGGGTGTAGGGGGGGTGAGACTTCTGACGCCTCACGAGCAATCACAGGAGCTGGTCACGTGGTTTCGCCGGGCTCCTCCTCGCAGAGTCATGCTTCGCCTGTTAGGGCTGTCCCCCACCTCCGCGTCCCCCCCCCAACGTGTCCCCAGCGTGCGAGGGACGCGTGCGTCGAAATCCCTTACGTCCGGCCTGTGTGAAGCAGAAGCACCCACCCTGACGGCGTGGGGGGTTTTCCCGCTGGAGACACGTGTCTATTTTTCCCACAGTTTCCCTCCGTTTTTCGACGACAATCCGTTTGGCATCTATCAAAAGATTCTCGCCGGCAAAATAGATTTCCCCAGACACTTGGAGTTCAACGTGAAGTGAGTAACCGCTCCCCGCACCTTTGGGTGTTCTGCTTTTATTATTAAAGTGCCTAGAAAAAAATAAATAATAATAACAAGGACAGTCCCGGCCTCTGCGGGGCAGGACACCGAAGCGCGTTCATTGTCCAGTGCATTCGTTGTCTTGAAACTGTTTTGGACAGTCACGCATTTCCATAGACACGGAGGAGGTGTTCCTCACTGCGCTTTAGTGAAGCGTCCTCTTTCTGTGACTCTTGGCCCTACCGTGTGCCTTGTGAGATCAGGGACGTTTACACTTAGCCCGCGAAGGTATTTCTATCGCATTTCATGAGCGAGGCCCGTTTTGTCGTTGGAAGGAGCGTCCCCAGGGTTAGCAGAGTTTGATCTTTCTTGCCCGCTTCGATGACCCCCATCCTCAAAGCCCTTTGTCGTGCTGAAATTTGGGGCCGGGGGCCTGTCGCCTGCAGAACCGCTGTCTTGCCTCATTGCGCGTCCGTGAGCTTGGCTGTGCCTTTCCTCACACGTGTGGCAATGGGGACAAAAACAAACAGTGAAAATGACCTTTTAGTTCTCAGGTCACCTTTCTCAATCGGGTCGGTTTCAGCCCGTCTACACCTTCCGGACTTTGCTTTCTTGCCTATTTTGCTGTTTTTCCCAAATGAATTGATGGGGTGCGCTCACCCCCGTGGATCAAATGCTGTTCATTCCTTGAGGTCAGAACTAAACGTTTCTCTCTCTCTCTTTTTCTTTTCTTTTTTGCTAATTTTTTAAACGTATCCTATGGAAATAGAGTTCTGGATAAACTAGGTCATGACGGTGGACCACCTACTGGGGTGACTGACTGTCCCCCGTTGCGTTTCTCCGTGGTGACCGTGTCTGCCTTCATCCGGAGGGTCTCGATTTCAGAACAAGGCAGTGTTTCTATCGGCTTCTGCGGCTGGCACGTGTGTTTCACACACCAGCCGGATTTTGAAGGATTTAGCAAAAAAGTGAACGAGGCTCCATTTAAAAGCAGAGACCTAGAAGGGACCTCGCACCCCACGAACGGTAAGACAGCGAGGTGGACGCAGACAGAGCACTGCGAAGTCTATTTGCTGCAGAAAGAAATGAAAAAATAGAGTATAGGATTTCTCTCCCAGGGTCCAAGCCCCGTCTGAGTTGAGCGACACTGTTTCAGATGCATAGCACAGGGCTTTCGAAATTGAGTCACGTGTTTATCAATAATCTGCCAATGATTCGATGGCATTAAAATCAAGTCACAACCAATTCTAGGTGTTCTAGTTGCCAGCACCTAGAATTCACCCACAGGGTGAGAACATAGGTGCCTCATTCTGCGCAGATGACCACTTGGGGCGCCCTGTCCTTGGAACTCTGACTTAGCCATTGCCATCACGTGCTCCAGGTGACATAATCGTGGACTGTCCCTTGGATTCTTGCATTCAGCCTCTTGTAGAGTCTCCAAGGTCTTAGTTCAGAAGATCATCGGGTTTATCCACCTTCCTCTTGCAAGGGGTGACATTGACTCTTCCAAGAGACCTCCCCCAGAGAGGGGACAATCCGTGTATCCTAGGTCATTGATTGACACATTGATGTGACATCCTCATTTATAGCGATATATTGGGCAGGGCTGCGACATCGGGTGGAAATACAGGTCTTCCAGAAACAGACAGAGCACACCTGAGCCCTGCTGGGGGAACCAGGTGCCAGGTGTGTCTGCAGTGACGTTGACATTCTTCGTGAGATTATACGTAACGGAAGAGGAAAGAAGAGGCTTGGGGCTTGCTGCCCGCTGGGTAGAGCTACTACATCCCCCGGTGTTTCTCCGAGTCTAAACGTGTCTGATCAGAGAGAGAGAAGCCAGCTGGCCCCACGGTGGTAAATCTGACCTAGAATTTCATCCGCAGACAATCGAGGCACTGCCGGCAAACACATACCCTGGCCCAGGATCGAGGTGCCCACTTCACACACCTACCTGGCTTTGCCGTATTGGGGTGGCCCCTCGGCTCTGCCCCCTGCCCCATCCTTCCAGGACGAGGCCGTTTTGCGAGGCTTGGATCTTGTATTTTAAGTCACCCTTCTTTACCTTATAATCCCAGTGCAGAGGCTTTGAGTGCAGGCGCTCAGTAGGGCCAGCGCTGGCGCATAATAGGGAAAAAGGGAAAAACACAGTCCCCATAGGCAGGTCACCCAGCACCGCGTAACCTGCTTAGAAACGCACGCTCGATGGTGCTGAGCCAACAAAGAGCCCGAGCGGCCGTCCCAGTGGGCGACTTGTCCGGCCGTTGACGTGCGCTGTCCGTTGGGGTCTGAATCAAGCTGCCAATGCTTTCTCGTCCCCTTTCCCCCAAACAGAGACCTCGTGAAGAAACTCCTTGTCGTCGACAGGACCAGGCGCCTCGGGAACATGAAGGTAGGTGCTTCTGTCCTGTATTCTAGGTGGCTTCCGCGATGGGTGCCCGTCACTGGACACCGGGCATTTCCGCCTGTCGGTGGACACCAAGGCACAGTGTTTACGTCGAATCGGCAGCCGCATTTCAAATCCGAATTTTAAAATCCAGGCAGGTCGACGCCCCATCTCCTCCTCTCTCCAGACACACAAGTGGCTCAACAGTGACCTATAAGCGATTGCTTATCGTTTTGTGCATTTATTTCTATTTTTTAAATAGCGTTGTCGAGGCACTATTCACGTACCTTACAGTTTACCCACTTACAGTTATGCAATCTCATCGCTTCGAACACATTATCCGCACTGTGCGATCATCATGACATATGGTTTTAAAGAATATTTTCATCATCTCGACAAGAAGCCCTACACCCTCAAACTAACTTCCCCTCATGCTTTTAGTGTTTCTGCACGAAGGAACCACTAACCTACCGGGTCTGCCTTGGTGCATTCAGCATCATGTGTTCGAGGCTCACCCATGTTGTAGCGAGGGTCATGCCTCCTTTTTTATGGCCGAGTAATATTCCACCGCATGGACCACGTTGTATTTGTCTGTCCATCGATTCAATGGACACTTGGGTTGTTTCCAACTTCTGTTTTTTTGTTAATTATCATTATTTTAGGAGTTGTGCTTCATGGGCGACTTTCACAAACTTTTCATGGGGCGAGAGAACTGTATTTATGGGGCGGACCACTGTGTAAGTGGTATCGTGTCTTATAGTTAATGAACCAACAGGGACAGTATTTCTGCACTGTGTCCTAAGCCAGGATCTGTCCCTGTGTTCTGGGGTGCTTAGCGTAGCTTCTGTGTGCAGGGCCCTCCCTCTTGGGTCTGTTATACGCACTGTAGACCCCGAGGGCCTGCGCTTGGCCTACGGCAACCTTCGACTTCCCCTTCGCCCCGTATTTCTCACCTTACGATTCACCGTCCTGACGATCAGCCCCGTGCCAGCCTCGATGGGCAGTGGCCACCTCCATCACCTGTCACTGTCGCACCTTGCTGTCCTCGTCTGCTTGGTAATGCTTATTTCGGAGTGTTTCTCCCCTTTCTTCCCAAGTGTAGCCATTGTGCCGAATGCCTTTATTTTTATGGATATCTCTCTCTCCTTCCACACATGGAAAATTTCTAGCCGAATCTTCTCTGTCTTTCTTTCTTTCTTGTTTACATTATCTATATCTATATGTCTAGCTAGCTTGCTATCAACTGTCATCTCTCTATTTATCTACCTATCTAGATCATCTTCAGTCCTGTCTATCCATCCACCTATCTCCATCATCTCTATTATCTTTTTGTCCTTTGTCATCTCTATCGTCTATCATCTATCTTTCATCACCTGTATCATCTGTTTGTCATATCTATCATCTACTATCTATCAGCTATGTATGTATGTATGTAGGTATCTATCTATCTATCTATCTATCTATCTATCTATCTATCTATCATCTCTATCATCCCATCATCCACTAATCTATATATCTATGTATCTATCTGT